CCCCCGGTGGTTGGTGGACACATGGTCTTCGATGACTTGTCTGCTGTGGGCTCCAGGCCATCGTCTTTGCTGGCGGGTGACTTGGATTCAGTTCGTGCCCATCGTCCCCCGCGGTCGTGGCCAACGCCGGCTGATCTTCGGTCTTTGTCCTCGGCGTCTTCTACCCGCCCTGTGTTGCTCCCACCTCGTCGCCGACTCAGGGCCAAGACTAACCATTGGGTGTCGCTGTCGGCGGTGGCAAAGGCTGGTGCTGAAGGTGAGGTGCCGGGTGAGTCCGAGATATCTCTGGAGCCGAGTGCCCCGGAGCCAGTGGCACGCCAGCTGAAGTCGTCCAGGTATCGGGTTGGTGCTGTTGTTCGGTGGCCTTGCCCGCTGTGCCCTATGGTCATTGAGACCAGGTCGCCGGACACGTTGCAAAAGAGGCGATATGACCATTGCCATCGCCAGCATGGGGGCCAGGGCTTGCCGGGGACGAAGCGTGTGAACTTCGATGCTTTCAGGACCTTGGGGCCCGATGAACCAGAGGATTGGAGGTGCCCGCTTTGCAATTGGGGCCTACCGGTGGGCACACGTGGCGGCATGACTTCTAAGACGTTTGCAATGGCCAAGGAGTACCACCGCAAGGCAAAGCACCGTCACGTTAGCCAGAAGGACTATCTCGCGAAGATCAAGGCCAGGGGTGCCAGGAAGCCTGCACATCGTATGCGGGCTCGTGTTCGCGAACTCAATGCGGGTGTGGCGAAGAGACGACAGGAGGGACTGGCCGCCATTCCCGGCTGGACCTTTTTCCGGTGGCCCTTTGTGACCAACAAGGCCAAGAAGCGGGTGCTTAAAGTCACACAGGCGTGGAGTTGCGAGAAGTGTGGCCTGTGCACGCGAGTGGCAAAGCGCCGCCAGCTGCATGAGGGCCACTGCCATGAGTACGACAAGTCCATTTTGGAGGGGGTTCGTGCGCGGCGTCGGGCATCCTTCGAGGAAGCTAAGACTTTGGGTCACGGCGTTGAGCCCGACTTGCTGACCCAGCTGTTTGTGAACGCCGATTTGGCCATGGGAGGTGACGGTCAGCTTTCATGACTGTATTTAGTACGATGAACGTGAACCGGATGGGGGTGACGAAGGTTGCTGCCATCCATGATCACATGCGGGCTTTTCCTTGTCAGGTCATGTGCCTCCAGGAGGTGGACATCAATACAGCAAGTGTGGCCACTTGGATGGACGCCTGGCGAGCCCATGGTTATCATGCATTTTTGGGGGTTGGCTCTGGTGGAACACATCGTACAGCTGTTCTTTCCAGAGCACCTGGCCAGCCCATTCGACTACCGAGTGTGGGTGACCAGTCCAGGTACAGTGCAGTGGCTCTCGAGTTTCAGTTTCACAGTGGAGTTCGAAAGGTGGTTGTGGTGAGTGTGTATGGCTTCGCCTCCGATTGCGAGGCGGCGGCGAACTATGTTGAGGAGGTCATCCTGGCGGTCCGCGGGATGGGCATGGAATGGCTTCTGCTCGGCGACTTCAACGTTGCTGTGGACGAGGCGCCGATGGCTAGGCGCCTGGCGGCTGGATGGGCAGAGCCGCTGGACTCTGCTTTCATGACGGAAGGGCCGTTGCCCGGCACGGCCGGCGGACATCGTCGGATTGACTATGGGCTGTCGGCGGGGCGGCTGCGTCCGATTGCGCTCAGACACACTGGTGGCGTGGGCAACCACACGGCGGTGAGCTACGAGTTCTCTTTCACTGACCCGTCGGGATGTTCTGCGCCGGCTCGGGCTCCGCTTGGTCAGGCCGAGGTGTCGGAGGCTGCTTGGGCAGGGCACTGGGATGAGCCGCGGTTCCGCAACTTCTTGGCGACAAAGGATGTTGACGCTGCGTGGTGCATGTTGTCCAATGCGGCGGAGGCTGCGTTGGGTGGCGTGAGTCGTGGTGTGGTTGCGCGGTCCGCTCCATGGTCGCCTCAGGGCGCCAAACCTCGCAGCAAGGCGGCTAATGGCTTTGAGTCCTTGGGGCTCGTGCGATTGCGGCGCCTCTCCCGCCGTCTGTCACAGTTGGCACGGTGCCCTGAGGATGCTCGGCTCCGGGATATCGTTGGCAGGAATGTGGTCGCTCTCCAGGACCTCTTTCCGTGGCTGCAGGACCTCCCCTTCTTCACCATGGAGCAGCAGGCTGAGTGGGTGCATTCACAGGTGGAGGAAGCTGCCAGGCTGGAGCTTGAGGCGGGTTTTGCTCGATGGCGGTCCTCGCTGTGTTGTTCGACTAAGAAGCAAACGGCGTGGATCAAGCGCCGGGCCTCTTTGCGAAAGGGCCTCGCCAATCCCCGGTGGAGCGCTGCTGAGGAGATCAGGCGAACGGCCATCCACCCGGTCGAGGTGATTCGTCGTGCTGAAGCCGAATGGTGCCCTAGATGGACGGCTGGCATTGCGGAGGTGGGCCCTGTGCATGAGCTCCTTTCTGAACTCGTGCCTCCGCCTGGGGACGCTCGGGCTACGCCGACCTTTTCCTCGGCTCGGCTCTTGAAAGCTGCATCTAAAATGCGTGGCAAAGCCAGCGGACCAGATGGGTGGGAGGCTCATCATTTCCTCTTGCTGCCGGAAGCATTTTGGCGGGCCCTTGGAGATCTTTGGCAATGTGCCTTTGACAATGCAACGTTGCCGGCTCGGTGGCGTGAGGCCCGGGTCGCGTTGGTTCCCAAACCTACGGGAGGCTGCAGGCCGATTTCTGTGCTCAGTGTGGCCTATCGCTTAGGCGCTGCAGTGCTAGTCCGGGACATGAGGGGGTGGGCCAATGAGTGGCTAGGGCACAGGATGCTGGGTGGCGTGCACCGTCGCTCGACCAGGGACGTGTTCCTCCGCATCATTGAGGCCAGCTACGACCCCTCGGTGGTGTTTGTGGGTCAGGATGTGTCGAAATTTTTCGATTCAATCCATGCTGAGCATCTCATGCAAGTGCTTCGGTTTCTTCGTGCTCCCAGGCCTTTCGTCAACTTCGTGCAGGGCGTCTTGTCTGAGCAGTGGCGCTTGTTCTCCACTAGCAGCTGGGTCGGGGACAAATGGCATCCGGCCACCAGAGGACTGGCCCAAGGCGATCCGATGTCGCCGCTGTTGGCTGCTGCGGTGATGGCGGTGTGGACGGGCACGGTCGCACGGTCCACATGTGAGGCGGTGACTTTCGTTGATGACCGTAGCTTTTGGGGCCGCTCTTTGAACGCCTTGTCCCATGCCAAGAGGCTCAGCGACAGTGTGGACCGCGCGTTCCAGTTTCGGTGTGACGCCACAAAGTGTCAGGTTGCTTCGATGAGTGGCGCCGTTGGCCCTCAGGCTGCTGCTCTCTTTGGCTACGAGCACAGTTCGGAGTTTGAGACTTTGGGAGTTCGGTTTTACCTTCGTCCCGAATGTGTCCCCATGTTGGCCCGCTACTCCTTTGAGATCGCCGACGTAAGGCTTCAGTGCATCAACGTGGTTGCCACCGGTCTTCCTATGCAGGCCTCCTTCATCCGCTCGTTGGTGCTGCCTCTGGTGTTGTGGGCTGGCGCCATGGCTAGCATCGAGAAGGAGCAGTTGCTTCAGCTTCGCCGAGCAGTGGTGGCGTCCATCAACAACCAGAATGCCTGTGACACTCCGGCGCTGTTGTTGTGGGAGGTGCTAGGCTGGGATTGCGATCCCGTCTTTGCTCGCAAATGGTCGGCGCTGCGTGCGGCCATTGCCATCGCAGGCCAGCCACCGTGTTGGTTGGAGGACGCGTCCATCCAGTTTGCGGCTAGGCGCTGGCCAACGCTGCTGCCGGTGGCCACGGCAGTGCTGGGCGAGCTGGGGTGGTGGACTTCGGCGACTGGTGACATTATTGGTCGACGAGATGAGTGCGGGCGCCTCCGGACTTTTCACCTCGGCTACGACAGTGAGCTCATCCTGAAGCAGTGGTTGATTGACTGGCATCGCCGTGCTTCATTACAGGAGACCGCCCGGGTGAAGCGGCGTCTTCATCGTTGTGCTCCGGATGGTGATCTTGCTCAAGGGGTTCTTCTTCCTGGAGTTCCCGCTAATGCCCTGTGTGTCATGGCCGGCCATCGGAAGCTCTTCCCTCCGCATGGTGCACGGCATCTTCGCAATCCCTCGCTTGCTACTGGTTGCACGGTTTGGGCCAAGGCGAAGAAGAAGGGCACTTCTCCTGAAGCCATTGCTGAATGCATATGCGGCCAACGAATGCCGAGCCGTCCACACCTCCTGTGGCAATGCAGTGGCACAGCGCATCTGCGCCCCAGATGCGCGGCACCGGTCAATCGGGCCGAGGAGCGGCTTCTTTGCAAAATCGTGCCCGAGCTTCCCCCGTCGCCCTGCGTGATTGGGGGGGATGAAGTGGTTGAGGAGCTCGCGGCGATCCTCAACCAGATGCTGAGCGCCCGGCCCGTCGTCTTCGTTGGCACCGATGGCAGCTGCATTCACGACATTGCGGCCTGGTCTGTGGCTGTGCAAGATGGCCCGGTCTTCTGCTCAGGGGTCGCCGGCGAGGACCAGTCGGCCTACAGGGCGGAGGTGGAGGCCATCAGAAGGCTTCTCATGGCGGTGCAAATGGTGCAAACCACGGGGCGCTTGGTGATCATCTCGGACTGCCAGTCGGCGATGCTGGCCGTCGATGGTTGCGGGTCCTGCCGCTTGTTGGTCGAGGACGTTGCAAGGCGGTGGCAAGCGATCAGGTCAGCCGGGATTGAGGCGACGATCCACTGGATCCCCAGCCATGGCAAGCCGGCCCCGGCTGCGTGGCCGACGCCACCTGGAGGCGAAGTCCCGGCTCGTGTCCTCAATGGTCGGGCTGACGAGGCGGCGCGACTGTGCGCGACCAGGCGGGCCTCGGGAAGCGCCCGCGAGGCGTGCGCGGCAGCTCGGGCTGCAGCAGCTGCATGGGAGGAGGAGGCGATCACCGGCCTTGCCAGGATCGCCGAGTTCTACGACAACTGGTAGAGTGGGCTGCGAGGCTTCGAGGGCTTGGCACCCTGAAGTCATTGACTGAAAAGCATGAAAAGCTGCGGAGGTTTAGGCTGTGTTCGGGCATCGGCATTGAGGGTTCTAGGTACAGGTATGCCCTACGGCCCTAAACCCGGAAACCTCAACTGAACCCGAACCCTCAAGCCCTTTACCCCAGGCCCTTGACCCTGCAAGACCTGCGCAGCCCAGGTAAGCACGCCGAGGAGGAGAAGGAAGTTACTGTGAAGAGGCGAGAAAAAATGCGGAAGGACTGAGATTCTTGCTTTTTTTTTTTTGGGGGGGGGGTTTCAGGGTTTTGGGTTTCAGGTTTAGGGTTTTTAGGGTTTTGGGCTTCAGGGTTTTCGGGAGTGGCCTTTTCTGGGATGTTCATGTGGATCAGGGCTTCGGGTCCTGGGTTGTTGGGAGGACCTCTTGGATACCGTCGCTGAGAATGCCCGACTTAGAATGTACTCAACTCGAAACCCCATACCTGCTGAATCCACAGCTCCGAGCCCCTACACCCTTTCGACCCTTAAGCCGTCAGCCCTGCATCCCCTATCCTCAGTCCCTATTCTTCCACCTCGGATCCGGCAACTAAAAACCCGACACCCGAAACCCACCAGCCGGAAACCTCACACCCTAAACCCGCACCCCTTAAGCCCGAGATCCCAAACCCCATAAGCCCGACACCCGCAACCCTAAACCCAACCCCAAATTCTAAAGACTCCAAAGCCGAGATCCCAAACCCCCCCATAAAACCCGACACCCTCAACCCTAAACCCGGCAACCCCTAAACCCCTAAAGCCGAGATCCCAAACCCCATAACCCCCCCTCCCTCCCCCCCACCACCACAACAAAAAACAACAAACAGAAACCATAAACCCGACCCCCCTAAACCCTAAACCCGGCAACCTGAAAAGTGAAGCCGCCGGCCCTCCAGGAGTACCTGCTACAACTCAAGGTCGAAGCAAGCAACAGGCCCGGTTTAGGGGTTTAGGGTTTTAGGGGTTTAGGGGTTTAAGGAGTTTAGGGGCTTTAGGGGCTTTAGGGTTTAGGGGTTTTAGGGTTTAGGGGTTTAGGGGCTTTGGGGGTTTAGGGGTTAAGGGCTCTTTCTGGCTTCCTTGGTTTTTAAATTTTGGGCTCCACTGAAGCCCTTTTGATTACTTTTGCTGAATGAAGCGGTTGTGTTCGTAACACAATCCGAAGGAGTTTCAGGGGCTCTTTGCGGTTTGAATGGGGCTTGCGACGCCAGAGGCCGGTGATGCTAATGATGCTTGCTGGGCTGGAGCTCGCCTAAGGGAGGGGCGTTGTGCCCGAAGCGAAAGAAACAGTGATGCTGATGATGCTGGCGCTTGCCGCCCAACAGCCGGAAGCAGCGGCGGGTGATGCTGATGATGCGGCGCTTGCTTGCCAGAAACGACAGGCAGTGATGCTGATGATGCTCGAGCCTGTTTTGCGGTTTGCCCGAAACGAATACCAGTGATGCTGATGATGCTGGCGCTCGTCCCCTGGCAGCTTTAGCGTTGCTCGATCGCAGATGATGCTGTGCTGATGTGATGATGCTGGCGCTGTTTGCTTAGCACCCGAAACGAGAGGCTGCTGATGCTGATGATGCTTGGCCTATCGTCCAGGGTTTTGCTTATCATCCAGATCCGAATATCAAGACTCTGAAAGAACGAGGGTTGTCAACCCGACGCCTACCTGAACCTTCGGCCTTAAATCCGTGACCCTCTATTCGTACTGAGCCTGAAACCCCGGAATCCGTTTATCCTTAGCCTTTAATCCTTACAACCTACACCCTGAAATATGACAAAGCCCTCAACCCTAAGCCCTAAGCTCTTTAACACAACATCCTAAACCCCCAACCCGATATTTCTTCAGATCCTTAAATTTTAAATTCTTTCGAGCCCCAATTCAGCCCTTATCTACATAGCCCTTGCCATTACTAGGAACCTCCAATGCACCTGTAAAGGAAATGTAGCCTTGCTTGACTTAACTAAGCCAAGTTGAACCAAACCTAACCTAGCCCAGCCGAACCTAACCTCACCTAACCTAACCATTTTAAACCTAACTCAACCTAACCTAACCTAACCTTGCCCCACCCAGCTAACCCATTTCTGCCTGGACAGGGCCCAGGCAGTGCGGGAGCAAGCGAGAAGGAGTCTCGACGAATGCGGTCCCATAGGGTTAGCTTTCTTTTCAATGGAGTGGATTAAATAAGGACTTAGCCTTGAAGTGTCTTGCTCTGAAAGGGTTTTTCGGCATATTTTCAAGTGTTTAAAAAAAAACGGCTTCACGCGTCGGTTGTAGTTCGGTTGTACAGAAGCGGTTGTATTTTCAGGGCCAGGCTTTCCTCCTTCTATGGGCCCTAAACCTTAAAGGCGCCGAGCCCATGTTGACAAAATGGCAGGGTTTGGATTTAGGGTGGCAGGGAGTAGGTACCAATATACGTGCCTTGATAATCGATAATCGGACTAGGGCTTGGGGTATGCGATATTATAGCCTTTGAGATGTGTTTAGGAAGCACGGCTTCGGGACGAAGGGGTCTGAGGTGTTTAGGACTTTGGCTTTAGGAACCTAGCGGCGATGTACCCCTCCTAGCCCTAAGCCCCAACAAACCCCAGACCTTCACGAGGAACAGACAAAGAACTTGTGTATATGCTTCTATTCTCTAGGCTGCCAGTTTCGAGGGCACAGCGCATGTGGTCGTCGGGTTCGCCACCAGGACCCCACTTATAGTTGTACCCTTAGCCTACCTCTAAAGGAACTCACTAAGCCTAAACCCCAAACCCTATACCATAAACCCCAAGCCCTAAACCTTAAGCCCTAAACTCTAAACCCCAAACCCTAAACCCTGAACCCTACGCCATTCCAAACCGTTGCAACCCAAGGAACGAGCGCCGGGATCAGAAGATCCAGGACGAGTTTTCTTCGGCTGCATGTTTCAGGGGTTTGGGGCTTTGTGGTTCGGGTCCCTTTCAAGATTTATTGAGGGATGATCTGTATAACTGTTCTGCAAGGGATCTATGGGGCTGTGGGGGTTTGGCTTTTTGTAGGGTTTTAGGGTTTTACGGTTTGGGGTTTCAGGGTTATAGGTTTGGGGTATCAGCATCTACTTTAGGGTTTAGGAATCAGGGTTTGGGGTTTCAGGGTTTTAGGGCTTTGTGGCTTTCGTCCTCGCGGGGTTTTGAGCGCTTTAGGTATAAGGGCTACTATACTAAAGGTTCTACAAGGGATCCATAGGGTTTAAGGCTTTAGGGTGCAGGGCTTGGATGTCTTGGGGTAGTACGGCTTTAGGGTTTTAGGATTTAGGGGCCTAGGGCATCAGGACTTTATGGTGCTAGGGATTTGGGATACTGGCTTGTAGGGCTTTGATATGAGGATCCTCATCACATAGCTTATCTGAGGTTTGTTGGTTTTAGGCAGAGGGAGATTTTGCTCTGTGGGTCCAGGGCCCTGGGACGGTTCCGATTTTGGGTTGCTGTGAGGCTTCTGGGGTTTAAATTAGAAGCCTAAGTAACTACCAATCTATGTTGAGTTACCATTATAAAGGAACCCTATTAGTTACTATAGATCCCCTATTCTGGTAACTTAAATTAAATTCCTCAACAAGAACCCACCCTAAACCCTTAACCCTAAACCCCTATTCTCACTATTAAGGCGCCCCTACAGTAGGGTGTGGTTTCGGGGCTCAGGGCCGCAGCTTGAAGCCCACGCAGAGGGGCTCACCGAGGGCTTCAGCCATAGGGTTGAGGGATTAGGATGGGGTTGAGGGTTGGGTTGAGGGTTGAGGGTTTAGGGTTTAAGATCTATTAGGGCTTAAGTGGTTGAGGATTTAGGGTTTAGGGGCTTCTCGCTTCTGGATGCACGAGCCATTGAGGAGGCGGGCAACTTGGAGCACTTTAGAGAGACCTCGTTCAAACAGGGTTGAGGGTTTAGGGTTGAAGGTTAGGGTTTAGGGTTTAGGGTTTAAGGGGTTGAGGGTTGAGTGTTGAGGGTTTGCGCGATCCAGAGTCCAAGATAGAAGCCTAAATAATACTCCTTTTTAGTCCCTAACATAGATAGAGTATAATAAGATGTCCCTAAGAGTCTATATATTTATAGAAGCAAGGAGAATGCCTTCTTGTAGCCCCTAACATAGACATAGTGTAAGATGCCCCAAAGATCGATGTCATTGTTGAGGCTCCTGGGCTGGTCTTTCAAGTTGCATAGAAGGATTTGGAGACTTCGTTTTCCGCGAGTTGTTGTTGCTTTGCTGATTTTTAGGCTTGGTTGGGCTATTGCTGCAAGTCAGCTCGAAACCCTAAATCCTTCGACATCATCCATAGCCCGAAACTCAACGCCCCTTTCCCTAAGCTCCTTCTCCCCAGAACCCTGTAATTGCAGACCCTACACCCTGCAAGCCCTAAGCCATCAAACCCCAAAGCCCGAAACCATAGCTGGGATCGGTGCATGCATTGCGCGAGGTGCGCGAGTCGAAACCGTAAAATCATGAAGACCCCAAAGCCTAAGCACTCCAAGGCCTTGAAACAAAGCCTAAAGCTCTTAAAGCACCTAAAACCCCACAACCCCAAGGCTTAAGCCCCCCTTGGAAGGAGCGCGAAGAAGTCCGACTCCGAAAGTTCCGCGAGTCGCAGTTCATGGATACCATGCGCGACTTGGGCGGAGAGTTTGGAGTTTTGGGTTCTAGGGTTTAGGGTTTAGGGTTTAGGGTTTGGGGAGAATTTGGAGTTTTGGGTTTAGGGAATTTTGGGTCCAGGGTTCAGGGTTCAGGGATAAGGGTCTTGGTGATTCTGTGGCTTGGCTTGTATAGGTTGCTTGCGCATGGTTCTGTGCATGATTTGCCGCGCTGCTCTACGGGGTTATCCATCGTATTTTGTGTTTAGGCTCTTGACCGTTTCTCACTGAGGCGGCCCGAAAGTGAACGCGACAATCCCAAAACCTAGAACCTCCACACCCGCTTTCGGACATCTTGACCCTAAACCCTAAACTACTAAGCTTACTAAATTTCACTAAACTCTAAACCCTAAACCCTAAACTCCTGAACTTCCTAAACCCTAAACTCCTAAACTTCCTAAACCCCAAACCCTAAACTCCTAAACTTCCTAAACCCTAAACCCTAAATTACCAAACTTACTAAAACCTAAACCCTAAACCCTAAACTACCAAACTTACTAAGCCCTAAACCCTAAACCCTAAAATACTGAACTTATTAAACCCTAAACCCGAAAGCCTAAATTACCAAACTTACTAAACCCGCCTAAATTACTAAACTTACTAATCCCTAAACCCGGTAGCTTGATTACTAAACTTACTCAACCCTAGACCCTAAACCCTCCAGCCCAGGATAAATACAAATTGTTCAGAAAGTCAATCGAGCAAAGGCAAAAAGCAAAACCCGCACAAAGCCCGGACAACACCCGCACAAAAACCCCACAAAAACTCAAGACCTGAACCCTAAACAGTTTGTATAAACTACTGAACTTACTAAGCCCTAACCCCTAAACCCTAAGCCCTAAACCCTAAACCCCAGACCTTAAACCCCGGAGCCCTGGAGGCCCCCAAAGACCGTGGAACCTTAGCACCTGCACCCTGGAACCTGACGGCCTTACAGCCCCCTAAACCCAGGAGCTTTAGGTTTAGGGGTTTAGGGGTT